CCCGTAGGCCTGGGAGCCGCCAGCGAGACCCGGAGGGCGGCGCATCGGGCCGCGGTGGACCACCGGTGGTTCGCGGCCGAAGGCCTCGGCGCGCGGCTGCGGCCGCCCAGGGCGCCCCGACGCCCCGGAGCGTCGCCGACAGGCCGGACATATCATAGCATCCGGCCACTGGGCCGTCGCCGCGGCGGCCCGACGCCCTGCAGGCCCGCGCGGGCCTCCGGCGCCGAAACCGGCGCGTCGCGCGACGGCGCTCGAGCCGCGGCCGCGCGGCCATCCGGCGCCTCCGACGAGCACCGGCGCCGCGCACGGCCTCGCGGTATACATGCGCGGCCTCGGTCCAGCGCACGCGCCCGGCGGCAGCGCTGCGCGCGCGGACGGCCGGGTTTCGTTCGCGAGAGCGTCTCACGAGCCATCTCTAGCGACCGCTCGTTCGTCGCGCGACGGCGGCCTCCGCACGGATAACTCGGTCCAGAGGTGCGCCGTGTGATGGGCTTTCAGGCGCACCCGGGGGCGCGGCGGCGCGCGGCGCTGGCGCTGAGAGCGGTCGATTTGCGCAGCAAGTGTCATCATCCGCGGCGATGTTGCGCGAAGCCGCTGGTCCATGTAGACCACCCCTCTACCAGGCTTCGTAGCAAAGCTGTTACTAAGTGTTACGAACATTAACTCGAGCTCACGAAACACCCGTAGACACTTCCGTCAGCGCGACGGAACACTTCTCGCAGCGCCCGGACAGATGTTGGTTCGATTTTGGCGGTTTTTTTGAACAGATTTCGTGGGCATGCTCCCGCTCGCCCTCGTGGCCGGCTGGTCGAGCCAATGCCCACTTCCAGCTCCCGCTCGCGGGTTTTCCCAGCGGTCGAGCCACGCCGTTTCCAACTCGGCTACAGCTCTCCCACTGCGGGGGAGCAGAGACCCCTAGGCTAGCCCCACTAGGGTAACACCCACTGGCAGTGTGCCACCTCCTACGACATGGACCGGGGCTGCAGTCTCCCCCCCGACCAATCCGTCCTTTTTAATAATGCTCGGGCGGGAGGGGGGCGAGGGCTGGGGCTAGGACACCCCTGGGACGCGCCGTCGTCTCCCGCGTCGATCCCGTGTCTTTTAGCCTTTTATTTATATATAAAAATCGGCATTTAAGATTCCACTGTCCCTGATCGCTAGGACGTATTTAATCATGGCAAAACTAAACTACTCCGTTATCGCATGTTCTGGCGCGGATCCTGATTTCGCAGCCACGGAGTTGAACGTCCATTCCCCCCACACGCGCGGTTGGCAGACGTCACGATTCTGCGAGTGAACAGCTGAGTAAAAGTGCGGGTTGAACGACCCAATAGTGCTGTTTCAGGTATCCGCAGGAGGTAATCGTTGAGCTAGCCCGTGGCGCGAGTATTTCGCAGATCCAATTGCTAAGTCATCAACACAAAATCGTTTGCCGGTGCCGTGACCTCATGCGCATTGTGACTACTGGGTGACCAGGCAACTCGAATAGAGCTCTTCGTCGGCTCTGGTAGCAGCCTAGATCGCGCAGCCTGGACAAGGTTAGGCTATCTATCACTGGATACAAATGAGCGAAGTCGGTGCAGTTGCGGTGCAGATGTCAATTAATGATGGATACGATCCCTGATGTCCTAGGTTCCAAGCACGAGAACTCAAGTCGGTATACGTCGATGCTCAAGGTCGTTACTTGAAACTTGTTGCACATCGTTGCCATGTAAATCATGCTAATCTCTTCAATCAGGTTGGCATAATTGCCATGAATGTCAGTATGCTTCGATCAGATGACCCGCTATTTGTTACTCGTGACAGGTTCTTGGGGAGTATGCACTCGAACACACTGATAATGACATTCTTTCGGGAAATAGTCTTGCAAACCCGTGTGATCATGTTGATGACCTCGCGTTTGGCATCAATGTCAGAATTTTGTGTCGGGCCAATAAAATGTACATCTCCTCTTCCCAAGTTGAGACAGAAGTGATAGGTTGACCCCCTTGCGGCGCGGCAGATCCGGTTGTTGCTTACGGCAAAGGAGGCAGCGGTCGAAGCTGAGGATTACGATACAGCGAAAAGGCTAAAGGCAGCTGAGCGGCAATTGCGATCCCTTGGTGGTCAACTTGCGCAGCTCAAAAATTCGAAGCGGTGTGCTGTCCGAGACGAGGACTACGACCGAGCAAAATTGATCAAGCATGAGATAGCGGCGTTGCGTCGCCGTATCAGCGACGCTCTTGAGCTGTGTGAGACGGTCGCGCGGGCGTCACATGAGGACAAACAGCCACCGCCACCATCAACACCACGGACTGATAACGTTATTTCAAGTAAAGACTCGGCTGGTGCTGAAGATAGAGTACTCCCGTCGAGGAAGTCGCCTCGATATCTTAGCAAGCGTGATGAATCACCCGTATTATCAGAAGTCGTTTCCCCGCCGCTGCAGGCGATACCGCAGATATTTGGCGCTGCGACAACAGATCAAAATGGCGATGATGCTAATGGACGACAGTCCCATGACACTGTGCGGACGCCTTCCTCTACTAGGACCAAGGATGATAGCATACATTCTCCAGCACCCTTGTCAAAGACACCGTGTACCGATGAAGATTTTCCGATACCAAATGGAAGACTTCATGACGATGAAGCCATGACAATTCCTCACCAAGTAAGTGAGTTAGAATCTATAGATAGCAATTCTCTGCATGTGAGTCCAGTATTGGACGCGCTTGCTGGCGTACCAAACGCTGCAGAGCTACCATCGCCGGAGCCATTCGCAGCTGATATGAACTCTAATCTAGATTTAGTTGCAGTCACCACACTCCTCGGTGACTACCGCGCCCGTTGTCTTGTCTCAAAGAATTGGTCTCTGCGGGAAGCGACTCTGGCTAAGGTGCGACTTCTATTGGATGAAGGCAATTGGGAGCAATTCGAAGATTTAGAGCAACTTTGCGACATAACGAGATCTTGTGTGCATGACAAAATTGCTCAAGTGTACCTGACTGCGTTGGCACTCCTAGATGATGTTGCCCATAAGTTTGCAGCTTGCGGATTCAAGCGTACGGAGGCTTTTCCAGCATTAGAGCCCGCACTCGCTGCAGTTGTCATGAAGCTGGGTGACAATCAACCGAGACTTCGTGACAAGGCTGTCGATGCGTTGACTTCTCTCTCTCGTTGCCGGGTTGTTGGTGCCGATCGGGTCGCAGAGAGGGTAATGCGCTCCCTCGACAAGAAACGCCCCGCGCATAATAAATGGCGACCAGTAGCTACACGCCTTGAGTTTCTCAAAAAGCTGGCGCATGAATTCGGGGTGGAAACCCGTGATGCGGCCAAAAAGGGATCCCACGCACTGGTTCTCGAATCTGTTCTTGAGTTTGTTGAAACGCATTGCTGTGCATCCCATACCTTCGAGGAGGTCCGATCAGCAACAAAGGAGCTAGTTGTCGCCAGCTTCATTGCCGTTCCTGAGGGGGACCGCTTGCGATTGCTTGAGCCATTTTTGAATAAACTTAGACCAAAGCAGGCCACAGAGTATCAGACTGCCATCAATCGTGGTTTAGATCATGCTGTCCCCAACTTGCGTACACTAACAAATGTGAAACAGCCGCTGCATGTCCGGCCTTCATCTCCCGAGTTTTCTGCTGGTCCTGTACCTTCACCTTGTGGTTCTACGCTCGAGTCAAGTCGGTCAACGATGGCCCCACTGCTATCAAGTGAAATACAGGAAGCTGGGCCATCACCAAGCACCGAACGCACGAGCTACTCCAGGTCGCCAATGCGGGCGTTGCACGATGGTCATGGAGGTGACGACGAGCCATCTGCAGTGTCTCACACGCTCATTGACGTCACACGTGTAATTTTAGCGCGCACAATGCTGATAGCGAGACTACTGATGAAACTCCATCAGCAGGTCACAGCGAAGTGAAGATCCCGAGGAGGAGCGTTTCAGGGACCAAATCATGAAGCAGCTTGAGGAAAAGGCCTTCTCAGCAAAGTGCTAGCGTGATATGCGTGAGCTTTTTTTTAACTGATTTTGAGCATTGATAGGTCCAAGAAGCGTATGAGATCCTTAAGGTTCATTTTAGCGATGCATCTCAGAAAAACCCCGTGAAGGAAAGCGTGCTCACAGAATGGGTAAATGAAGTTTGTGCCCGGGTCTAGGTGAGTTTAGGTCTAACTACTGAGTTTGTGCATAGGTCGGTAGCGACATACATAATTCTGTTGATATTTCCCGCGATGATAAGCTGTGGAAGGTCGCAACTTGGCTTTTCCAGTGACATGCCATCTACTCTGCTGCGAGGCTCAAATGCTATTGCGAAGATGGGCCTAAGCCAGCTTGGCGCGGACTTATCAGCAGTTTAAACCTCCGCCATCCCCACCGGCGCCCCGGCTCGCCTGCAGAGGACCGTGGCTACAATACTGGCTGGCTATTCCCATTGCAGAGAATCTAGCACAGTCAGGTGGGGTAGCGACTAGACTACAGAGGGGGGAGTGGTCTTCGCACACCCGAACTATGGATATCGTGGTTGCCTGGCAAGGCGACAACAGTCGGAACGGGTCAATGGCTATTAAGATATACATTGACTCATCAAATAAAAATTAAAAAAGAAACTAAAAAAAGGAGGGGGATCTCTCTGTAGCTGCGCTTCCGGTGGGAGCGACTTTGTCCGATATGGATCGCATACGCCTTTTTGCTGTTCCATGGGGGCAAACAGTTCCAACTGCACCTTGATGTCAACTTGAGCGGTTGCAGTGCACCTTACCCCACTGTGCTTCTACTGCTTATCGTGCTAGTATGCACCTCCCTCTCCTTAATACATTCTGTAGAGGATCTAAGTTCCGTACATCAACTTGACGTTAAGGTACAATCCGTAGAAGCAGGATGAGCGTAGATGGGGGAGTGCAGCCTGAGTGGCTTCAAGTCTTATAGAGACAGCGAACTGAAGGAGTGTACAGCCAGCAGAGGCAGAAGTAGCGTGGCGCTCTTCTGCTCCTGTGGTGTCTGTCAGACGGCCTGGTTAGCCTAGCTGGGATCCCTTCCTTAATACTTTCTAACCCTGTTATAGTTGCGTCTCGCACTGTAATAGACGGAGAGTCTTCCTGGACCTAGTGAGGCAGATCCTCTGCCCGTTCGTCCAGTAGCCCCAGCCCCCGTATACTACGGCAGCTGAGGTGACGTGAGGATAACAGAGACGCCGGTGTACCGCCACTGCATAACCTCGATAGTTCACCCCACACGGCAGGGCAGCCCCACTAGGCTGCCTCCCCGTGTCGGAGTTTACTATCTCGTTATCCCAACCCCTGCTGTTAGGAAGGGGTGGTGGGGGGTTGAAGGAGAGGGCGCATCGTCAAAGCACCTCACATCCGCTCCTCACGTCTGGCTTGTCGAACTCGCCACGTCTGATCGCGACGTGTAGGCGCTGCTGTTTTGACACTGCGAAGCCGCCACAAATTCTGAGACTGAGGTGATGCATCAATTCGCACCAGCGTTATTTTTGCGTGTCCTATCTGGAAGACTGTTGAGCGAACGATGAGTGCAGTAGTAACGGTGGTTTTAGACAGTTCGTAGAGAGGTGCAGGTCCCTTGGAAGGAATCACTAGATAACGAGTTCATCCTCAAGAAAATTATACTCGAAGGTGAAGTCGGATTTGATGCGCTGGCACCATCCGGTCTCGTAATCGAAGTACACATAAGTGCCCTGTTCAAACTCGTCAGTCGTCACCTTAGGCTCTTCATGGCGCTGGAACCAGGTCATATACTTCTTGTGGTAGCGCCAGCTCTGCTTT